GGCTTATACTCGAGTATATGGGGGTAGTTATTCAAGGAGGAATTTTAATCTTATGCTTAGGGAATTTAGGGATAAATTAACAATAGGTACATAGAAGAGTGGGTACTTTTGAATTATGATATTGGTGAACAATAGAGAATGTACTATCAAAAGAAGGAACAAATGTGTCTTGAACGAAGTACTCCCAGAATGCTCCTTAGAAGCTAGAATGATGAGACACACTATGAATATGCCATCAGGAGGTACTAATTCCTGGGGTAGGACTTTATGCTTGGTAAAAGAGAGGGTAGACAAAAAGGAAAAACCCTCATCAAGATGAACTGACCCAGTGGCTACAAGAATGGGCTCAAGTGTAGCATCACTTGTGAGGATGACAAAGAACCTGGCGGCATTCCATTCTGTTGTACATGAATCATCATCAACTGGACAGCATCTAATAACAAGAGCACAGAAAACCAGGCAAGGGGAAAATGAAGCAGTTATTGCCTAGTACTATAGTTGAATCTAAGAGATGGCTTCCAAGCCAGCCCTGTTTTTACGGACCTCTTGTAGCAAGATGTGGTCATGTACCACATTCTTAGCAATGGGATATAGGTCCAGGTGATGGATGCAATCTCCTACTATCGTGTTTGAAAGAAAAGCTCTGGCTCCAATCTCTGCTCTTTTTCAGCTTGGGCTGGCTGTGATAGAAATATGAAGAGCCTTGGAGCCTCCACTCTGAGGATGGCCCAGCGGTGTCTTTGAGTAGACAGACTGCCAACAATCTGGCACTTCAACGTTTGCTCCATGAGAGAGAAACTCATGTCTATTTTGTTTTAGCTCTTCCATGAGTTACCACTGACCTAATAGATAATATGAATCATCTCTGAACAAACCCTTACAGAGATACAAAAATATAACTGCTGAATACTGATTCAGTGCTGAATTATGAGAGAATGGTTTCGGAGAAATTGGTGGGGAGCATAAAAATGTTCCTCTGCTAACTCAGGAAAGCATGATGTCTGAAACTGAAAGAAAAAAAAAAGATGGTGGTGTAAGGACATGATTCGATATGTGGAAAAAGTACAAGGTTCTAATAAGGGTTGGACATGTAGCTTCCAGAGGGAGGAATGGAAAGAAGGCAAGAATGGGCATCGCTGGTTTTCATTGTAAGTACTGCAGAAGGTTGAATTTGTATAACCACTTATAAAAATCACTTAGTTAAAAATTTCATTTTAAAAGAAATTAATTCTGTTCCTAGTGCATGATAAGCACTAGTTAAGTGGCAGTAGCAATTGTTATGAGGAGTCCCTTGCTCCCCATCTGCCCACCTTCCTATGGCAGGGAACAGCACCTGTCTCACCCAGAAAGCCTTCTCTAAGTACACCCACAGTGCTAAGCAAGCAATAGCAGATGTACTGTCGGCCACCGGCTCCATTCCTCCAGGCATTATTACGGCAAATTCAGATCATAACCGGGTTTCGCACTCTTAAAGTAAATCAAAACTTTCCCATTCCGACTGGGCTGCAGATGTTTTCTCCAGGAGAGTCTCCCATCCCCTTTCAGCCAAGAGGTCCTTAACTTACTGCCCAGCATGGCTTTCATGGGAGTCCTGTGACCATCCACGATTCCATTCTGACAAACCAAAGCTGGTGGTTCTTCTCCCAGGGACAGATGCTGAACACGACCAGGAAGTCATATGTTCATGACTGAAGTCCTTTCCCCAATGAGCAGGGGTTGTAACCCCAATGCAGAGTCTAATGCAAAACTCCATCTTTCAGGGGGTCCACTTTGCTGGAACTTACACTCCTGAAGGGATAGGTTCTGTGTATTGGCCATGCCCTATGCCTTCTGGCCTGTGCCCAAGAAGAGCCAGGCTAATGGCCTGGAACCAATGTGGGAGCTGGATGCCGGCAGCCCAAGAGACAGACACAACCTCTGGGCCCCAACTCTGACTCTGGCCCTCAGAGTGGACTGGCCCGTCCCTTCTCTGAGCCCTGTTCACTCCTCTGTCTGATGAAGGGAAAACATGACAGAGGACAAATAATTTGACAAACCTTAAAGTACCTCATGAATGTAACAAAATGTCCCAGTTAGTCCACCATACGAGCCCCCTAAAGGAAAAGGAGTATGGGGCGGCAGTCAGAGGCCTGCTCTGTGCCTTTCAGCACCCTGCACACCTTGGGCCTCCCTACCAAATGCCTGTTCCTCGAGGACTAAGGATCTATGTACTGGATGTCAGGGGCTGCTCAGAAGTGGTTCAGAAGCACCTGCTTTGCTTCCATTCCATTCCCTTTGAGACTTGGGCTACTCTTATCAGAGGAACAGCTTAGAGCAAATGACTCCCGAATGGGACTCCCTCAAGCCCAGCATCACCACTTCTTTGAAGCCCTCTTACTTCCTCTGTGTCTGGCTCAGCACCTAGCACACAGCAAGTACTTCATGGCTATCTACTGAACAAGGAGTGGATTATTTAATGAATGAGTAAATGAAAGAACAAAGGTCTTGGTATTTATTGCACACAGTGTCTGGTGCTGCTATCAGCTGTGTGTGTCACAACTTCCATTGTGGAAGGCTCTGCCATCTCACCTCCACACTCCCACAAGGCAGGTGCTTGCTGAGATCGACTACCACAGACGGAGCTAAGGGTGGCTTAAATAAAGGATACATGCCATACCGGGGTCCTCCCTGCCAACCTGGCTTGCCCTGGAGCCAACGGAAGCTCACTGAATGCATGCCTTGACTCCTGGCAAGGCTGCTCACTAGCCAGGAGTGCCAAGGCATTAAATCGGGCCTACATTTTGAAGTAGGGGCAGTTCTGGAAGCAGAGGTAACAGCGCTGCCACAGCTAACCACGTGCACCTTGGTCTTATTCAGTGGAGGCAGCTAAGGGAAGGGAGACTTACGATTCCATTCTGTACACTAAAGCCCAGCTGGTACTTGAGGTCTGGCCGCTTGATGAGGACTGTCGTGACTGGAGGGCAACTAACAATGTTGAGCTTTACTTGAGTCTGGTTCTTCAGGCCCTGTAGAGTGGGGGGAGGGGAACATCACAGCATCACATGGCAGCCTTACATGTCGATGAGCATACCCCCCTGGCACTGACTGAGGATGAGGCTTGACTTGGGGCTGAGAGAGCCTCAGCTCTAGGCTGTGACGGTATAGGCAAGACAGTCTGAGACTCAGTGTCCCCCCTGCACCAGGAATGCAAATGGAGGCCTGACCCTTCCCCTAGGATCAAAGCTAGAGTAGGCATGTGACACTCTCCCTGTGCCTGGTGCCCTCTGAGCTGGGCTACCACAACCTTCCCACCCTCCACCCCCAACAAGAGCTGGACTAAGGGCTGCTTCACAGAACCCAGGCCTAGGCACCACAATCACCCATCCGTGGGAGGAGTCCAATAACATACAGCTCTAGGAGAACTTCCTATTTAGAACTCTGGACCACTTTCCCCAAAGAAGAACTTCTCTCAGTGAAGGGATTTCTGTGCTGACATGAGAGAAGGATAGATGTGAAGAGATGTGGTCAATAAAAACCTAGCTATGAGCAATGCGGGGCTCTAACCTGGAGGATGCAATTGTCAATGGGCATCCCAGACTTCAATTCTGAGGGGCTAACTAGGGAGTAGGGTATCAAATGCCAAGCCTCACAGATCCATAGTTTCAGCTGTGTCCCTCGAGCCAGGCTTGCTTGGAGTTGCCTGGGGAGGGGCATGACCCCATAGACCCATGACAAGAAGATGCTACTCACTGCTGCAGGAGGGAGGATAGCACACACAAGCCTTCCTGCTGGATGGAAGACTTTCCTTACATGTATCAGGCAGATACTGATGGTCAGTTATAAGGGACAGCCTTAGCAGTGTGCTTCACTTTTCAGACTGGGCCAGGAAGGAGGAAGGCACTTCCTCTAACACTAAGGTAACAGCAGTGGGTGAGAATGATTCCCTAAGGGTTGGGCCAGATTACAGAGGCCTTGCAAACAGGCAGAGCCTTCTGTCTGATGACCCTGAAAGACAGTGAATGTACTACTCACTATGTTGACCCTGAGCCAGCCCAAGGCTGCCTGCTTGTTCCCTGGGTCTGGGGTTTTCACAGAATGGGAGAGGCTACTATAACGCCCCTGACCTCACCCTATTGTGTCCTCTCTGTTGACCCCTCCAGGGACAGGTCACTTGAAAATCTAAAGATTGGGAGCTCATGATGTCAGTCATTCTCTCTTATAGAACAAAAGGCTGCCTCTCAGAAATGCATACCAACCAGAGAAACGGACTTTCCCGGTTTGCCCAGGGCTAAGGGGCTTTCCAGGGAGTGAGATTGGCAGTGCTAAATGGGGACGTCCAAGCCAACCTGGACAACTGGTCTCCTCATACTTAAAGAACACAGTGACTCAGCACTGAGCTAGATGAAATCAGGCCTCCCTTTCTCACACCCAGGCAGCCGGGTCCTTCTGATGGGAGCTATGTGTACTGTGTGCAGTCTCTGGCCAGTCCCTGGGTCTCTCTAAGGATGACAATAAAGTAAGGATGAAAGGGGGCAGGTCCCTGGTACCTACCTTGATGATGCCCTGGCAGGTGGCAAGGGGCAGCCCCACCAGGCTGGTGCCATTGATGGACATGATCTGGTCCCCAATGCTCAGCTTCCCTGATCGTGCGGCTGGGCCACCGTTCATCATGTTCGCCAGAATAACCGTGGGCAGGATGGAGCCCCAGCCTGACTCCACAACCACCACGCCAAGGAGCTCGCCCTTATGCTTCTCCAGCAGCAGCTGCAAGAGGATTGACATGTGAAGATTCCATGGGGTGCAGAGGTCTCTGCCATCTCCCATAAGAGACTTTACCAATGCTTGAGCCATGTGGCCTCTGCCCTGCCCTCACAGCCAAGGTAGCTAATCTGGGCAAGGAGAGTCTTAGGGGCCAGAGGATATCCACCTACCTCCAGGCTCACCTTCTGGCTCCCAAGTCCTTTTCCCCCCACCCCAATACACCTCACGCTCAAATTATGCCAGTGTCCTATCTCCTATTCCTCTCCCAGTAGCTGTGACCACATACCACAGAGCCCTCGCCCCATCCCATCCTCCACATCATCCTTCACCATACCCTTCAACCCCCCACCCCAACCATTTGAACTCATCTAGAAAAGCTTCAAGGGTCACTTCCTTAGAATGTTGCAACGGCTAAGCCATTTATTCCTTCATTCCACAAGCAGAGTCATTAATTCACTCATCAATTCAATCGGCAGTCAGCACCATTCATTCTTTCAACACGAGATCAGGAGCATCGATCCAATCATGCAACAAGCAGTCTGAGCCATTCACTTATCTGTGCATTGAACAAGTAGTCAGGCTGTATGTAGGTCATCCCCCAGGTTTCCACTCTGGAAAGCACACATGTCCAAGGACCCCCGAACAGAGCCTTTGGAACCTGCTCTGGCACCTTCACAGGGAGCTTCAAATTAAGCATGCAAATTCCAAGTGTTAAAGATGCCTCCCATAGTTTTTCAGAAGCACCCTAGACCCTGACTGCCAGTAGATGACAGTAATAACATCAAAAGGCATATTTTCAAGGTCATTATATGGGTTATGATGAGTCCCTTTGCTACATCACTCCCTCATCACGCACTTACATGTTCCCGTGAAAGCAGAAGCAGGTATATACTTTATGCACCCTTCTGGCCCACTATGACAGCAAAGAACTTGCAGTTGTGAGTCTAAAAAGGCTGCTCATCCCAGGAGGCTGATGGGAAGCCCTGGGAAGTGCTCCTCACTGAGACTGCTCACTTGATCCTCTGGAAGGTGTGGGTGGGAGAATAGGATGAGTGGGGCGGAGCTCACCTCCTTGCAGTTCTCCGAGTTTGAGAAGTGAATGAGGTCATCGTTGTACATCTCCTGGGTATTGATGATGTCACTGTATTCTTTCTGGCTCAGGTCCTCGGGGTTGATGCCATTGGCCCGAAGGAACTCTTGGTAGGCCACGCTGAAGGCCTGGCCGATGGACTGGGCAATGAGCTGGGCCTGAGGGGAGAGAGGAGGCCTCGCTGGAATGTCTGTGCCTCCGCAACAACACGGAAGCACAGACCCCACACACACCCAGAGAAGAAAGACGGCAACGAAGAGGGTGCCAAATGTACATATAGCATCCCAGGGAGCCCAGAAGAAAAGGGGCAGGTCCTGGTCCACTGACGCTATCTCACACAATACTACCCAGGAGTGCCATGGGCAAGCCTTTCTGCTGCCTAGTGCCAGGGCGTCCTGAGTGCACCCATACAATCTGCTTTATGTCCAGCATTCCTAGGACAAAGCACATTTTCAAATTAAACCTGGGAAAATTGTGAATTATTTGTGAAATAGTCTATTCTTGTAACTGCGGGTTTCTTGTCATTTATCTTATTCCAAAGATACTGCCGGCCATCTACCCAATATTTATTTCTCCATAGTAACAAAATCTAATGTTGCTCAGGGAGGCAACGTGTGTCCAGTCACTGTTGGAGCAGGACGGCTGTCCTGGGGCACTCCGTACAGGAGCGATGCACACTGCCTTTCGTTCTTCCCGCTCCCCGTTTCTTCGCATGTAAGCATCCCAGTAGATAGCTCCAGTCAGATGAACCCACATGCAAAGTAGCTTCAAAGAGCACCTAGAACTGCTGTCCAATTTATACGGCTTTTATTTATTTGGGGTGTCCTGTCATGTGCTCTCAAAGCCCAGCACACTGAAAGCATGGTGATTTTCATTTGGTCCCTGTACGCTGCTGCCTTGTGAAACTCCAGTTGTGCCTTGTGTGCCTGTGGTCAGGGACAGCCTCATAGGACCTCTGTTTCTTCATCTATGAGATCACTGGGATTAATATAATGCCATTTAAAATTATAACACCTAAGAGCCATGGCAGCAGGTAGGAAAACAGTGATTATCAGCAATTTATATATCTTCTCTAGGCCAGTGTTTTCCAAATGGGTGATACCACCCCCTGGAGTGCTGGAATGATCTGAGGGATGCACAAGCAGATACTTGCACTTTATCCCTGGCTACTGGCTACAGCAGAGAAGTTCTTAATTGGTAGGAGCACACTGGGTGAAAATGCACAGCTGTCCTTCTCTGGGGGAGCACCCAGGGACAGAGTTCGGGGTTTAATTGATGCTGCTCCAAGAACATCATGTTCCCCATGTGTGATAAATGGAATCATGTCTCTCCAAAAGACATGTTCAAGTCCTAGCCACTAGCACATGGTTGGAAAGAGGACCTTTGAAGATGCTATTAGTTAATATAAAGTTATACTGGAGTAGGGTGGATTCTAATTGAATGTAAGTGGTAGCTTTATCAGAGAGAAGAGAGAGAGTCAGAAGGATGCTGTGTGACACTGAATCTACACGTCGTGGAACATCTGGGACCACTACAAGCTAGGAAAGACAAGAAAGGGTGTTCCTCTAAAGCCATGCTTCCCAAAGTGGGTGTTACTGCGATGTGGGGGGCATTAGAACCTACGCTTTATTCTGGATTGTGGTCTATAGTACAAACGTTTTTAATTGCAAGGGGATTGCTGAGTAACTTTTTTTCCTGAGAAGAGGGTAGTAGGCCAAATAATTTTGGGAACCTATGCCCTAGAGCATCCTGAGGGAGTATGGCCCTGCCACACATTGATTTAGACTTCTAGGTCCCAGAACTGTGAGAAAACAGAAGCATGTTTTTATAAGCTCTTCGGTCCAGAAAGTGGGAAGGGTTGCAGGGGCCAACCTCAAAGCTGGATCTCAGAACAACTACAAACCAGGTGCCACAGACACTTGTCCCCTCCGAAGCAACAGCAGAACCATGCGGATTCTCTTCTCTCCCTGACCCTCCCTTGATGCTTCTCTCTCGTATCCCTTTGTGATTTCAAAAGAAACTGTACCACTTCGAAGGGAGAACTAGGGTATGAGTCGGAATTATTCAATAGCAAGCAACAGGGTGAATATTGGAGCCTTAAAGGCAAGGTCACCCCAGGACGGCATCTGGCTTCCCTCTGAGCTCTCCTAGATCTGCCAGCACTTCTCCCGCATAACCACTAGACCACCAGGGCTTCTTAGTCCTCTTCAGCAATTGTGAAATCAAAAGTGTTCCTTATATTTCCAAATGTTCCCTACAGCTTGAGAAGTCCCATATCAAAGGAAACTGAGTGATCACAAGCTCTGCCCTACCCTAATATGCAGAGTATCAGGACGCCTTAATATTCTCCAGGTTAAACAGCATAAACATGATAGACAAAATAGCAAAAAGGATCATTCCTCCAATCTAAATGCAGATCAAAAACAGGTTATCGGGTACACAAGGAAAGCCAGCAGGAAAGAGAAGGGCCAAGATAAAAAGAAGAGCTGTTTCCAGAAGCAGTAATTTATGAAACAGAAGATAACATCAAATAAACAACCACACAACCTTCATTTGGTATCTTCAGAGAGCTTCACAAATACAAGAACAATATGCTGTGAAAAAAGGAACAAGAACACATAAGGGAGCTTTTAGAATAAAATACATAGCTAAACAAACACTGTCATCAACTCGATTTGGACTCATGTTTACACCCATGGTCATTGAGCCAATTCCAATTCATAGCTCCTGCGTTGCCAAGACTGCACTTCTTTATGGGAGCAGACAGCCTCACCTTTCTCCTATGGCGTGGTTGGTGGGTTTGAAAATTACAGCTAGAACCTCAAGGCTACAAAGCCACCAGGGCATAAAATTCAATATAGCTTCTAATTCAAGATGCCTAATTGAATCCCTCTCCAACAAACAGGAGGAAAACATCAAGAAATCCCTGGGACCCTGAAAAGAAGTCTTCAGCTCTCCCCACAACTTGGCGAGGAAGCTCCAGAGCCCTGCACATCCTGGAAAGGAAGCCCCTGGACGTCCTCACACCTGGGGTAAGACAAAGTTATCTACTCCCATCCACCCAGCAGCTCTTCCAAAACAGAACAGCTGCACTACAACGTCATGGAAACAGCTGTCTATCCTGGGAGGAAAAAGGAAGAGGAGGAGGAAGA